CCCCTGACATAGTCAATTAGCTTAAATGCCTATAGAAATTTTTCTAGATGAGCTTAAAGCTTCAAACCATGTTTAACCCGTAGCCTAGACATTGGGTAATATGGCATATAAATTTTATTTTATCAAATGTGAAGAAGTAAAATTTTCTCCAGTCAACAAAAATAATTCGAATATTCGATTCGTTCGAATCTAATCGAATAATTATGAATACGAATAATAAATTATTTGTTTTATCTGAATACGAATAATCATTTATTCGATTCGAATAAAACGAATTATTCGTAATATTTAATAAATCTAACATTTGTCATTTCTATTTGTTGACCAGCCAATCTGACAGGTGATGTGTTTGGGTTTATAAAAATTCTAGCACAAATTTAAAAATTTTTAATTTTTTGAATCTCACGAAAAGTTTATTTTTTGAATCTCACGAAAAGTTTATTTTTTGAATCTCACGAAAAGTTTATTTTTTGAATCTCATAATAAATTATATTAAAAATTACACACACCAGAGGTATATAAAAATATATTACATCTCTACAATAATTATTGTTAGCTAGCCTAATTATGTTAGAGGAGAATGCTTCTGATGAAATTATGCTTGATGTTGAAGATAAGAAAATTTCCTCACAAAAGAGAGCAATCATATGGGATCAATATCAAATCCTTAAAGACGGTGAAAAGGCTGCTTTGCTTGCAATCATTGCAAGAGTATTATAAAATGTAAAGGCAAAACAACATCTCTTATTAATCATTATAATAGGTTTCATTCACACCTTAGTAAAAAATAAATAAAATTGACATTTTTTTAAAGTCTACACCAAATTCTACAAAAAAAATTAATTTTAAGGATAATTTATTAAATTATTTATAAATAATAATATATCTTTTAAAATTATTAATTCAAATGATTTTAAAAATTTTATAAGTGATCTTGATTGTTCTGTAAAATCAATATGCTCCAATACTCTTAAATTGCACATGTATAATACATTTGCAGAAAAAGAACAGTTGGTAAAGTATTTAATATCTAAAAATAGAAGTCAGATTAATTTTTCATCTGACATTTGGACTAGCCCAACACAGGTTCCTTTTTTAGGGCTAACAGCCCATTTAATTGATGATAATTTTAAAATAAATAACATAATTTTGGATGTCAGTCCAATAAATGAAACACATTCAGGTGAAAATATATTTAAATCTTTTGTAAAAATAATTAAAAATTATAATTTAGAGAATAAAATTTTTTATATAACTTTAGATAATGCAACTAATAATAAAACATTTATTGATACATTTTCTTTAAAATATCTATTAATAAAAATAGGGCACATCCGATGCTTTGCCCATGTAATTAATTTAATATCCAAAGAAATTTTAAAAATTTTAGATCCTTCAATTCTAAAACTAAGAAACATTATTAGAATGATTAGTAATTACCCTAAAAAATTAAATTTATTAAAAAATATATGTAGTTCCCTACACCCTCCCCTAAATTTTTTAAAACCAAAATTGAATTGTGAAATAAGGTGGAATAGCACCTACCAAATGATTGAAAGGGGCTTATTGTTAAAGCCTGCTATAACAAAATTAGTTAATGAAGTAATAACTAATATTAAAATTCTTCAAGAAAAACAAATATCAGAGGTAAACTAAAATTTATAATTAAGTAATAATATAATACTTTGATAACATATAGGAAGAATGGGAGGATCTTATAAAAATTAAAGCTATCCTATTGCCTTTATATGAAACTACAAATATGGTGTGTGGGGAGAATTATCCTACTTATAATTTGGTTATATCTTATTATATTTTAATTCTTGAATATCTAAAAAATGAAAAACCTGGTTTCCATAGATCCTTTAACAATAGTTTCAAAGTAGCATGTGATAAATTGTTGGGCTATTATAATTTAACATTTAACTGCCGATGATGCAATAATAACCACAATATTAGATCCCAGGCTTAAAGTAGAATATTTAAAATCAATATCTGTTGTTTATGATATTGATATATCCAAGTTAATGGACAATATAAAGAGATTTACAATAGATATACAGGTATTCAATTTACCCCCATTTAAATATGATTTTATTTTATAAGCTCATAAAACTGTCAAACAAATAAGGATAAAATTCAACAAAACAGGCTAGACATTGTTTTTAAGCAAAATAATATTCAACTGTGTGAAATAGATTTTTATCTGAGTGAAAAGAGCTAAGAGTGATACTGACCCGTTAATGTGGTGGAAATGCATATCGGATCCCCATACTCTCGAAAATGGTAAGGGAGTATCTATCTATGCAAGGAACATCAACTGCTTATGAGAGGCTTTTCCCAGTTGGAACTAATTTTTTATCAAAAAACCGCATGTCAAAGGAAGAAAATATAAGAAAAACTCTTTGCCTTAAAAATTGGCTTAAATTATAAATTAAATTAATAATATACATTTTATTTTGTTTATAACTTGATTATATATTATTTATTATCAGATTATTGATTACATATTATTATATTTTTTCTGTTTAAAATCAAATTTGTAATAAAAAAATTTATCAATATATTTGAGCATGATTTATTTTATTAAAAAAATTAATTCGAATCGAATACAAATCGTAGATTTTATTATTCGTACGAATTCAAATAGTAAATTATTCGATTCGAATTCGTTTTTGAATAGGCCTAGTCAATGTACAGGGCTAAAAAATTATTTTTGATCAATATTTTTCGAATAAGAAGCTCCCGTTACTAAATGAATATACGGTAGATAATAAGCATAGAAATACATCATTTGGCCTACTTTGAAAAAATTAGCCTCAAAAGATGAAAACGTTATAGCCGTTTGCTTTTTAGCCCTACCAGTCAGATAGCCCCGTCTCCGCTATCAATTACTACTTTATTGTGAGACATTTTATATATCATTAGAATCATCGAATGCAATAAATTTCAGAGCCAATAAATGTCTCTCTTTCTATTGGATCCTAATGGGTTTTTTTTTTAAATTATAGTTTAATCTATTGAAAAAAAAATGATTTCATTATATATATTTTTTCCTTATTTTGGAATCATATATAATTAAACAAAATTATATTTATAAGATTTAATTATTTTTATATATATTTTAAAAATTAATTAAAAAATACCAAAATATAATCCAATATTTTGGATTTACATTTGACGCAAATCAAAAACATGTAAATTAATTAGTCTACATTACCTTTTTGATTCAAATTATACATGTGTATTAATAATCTCTTTTTTCAAAATAAAAAACATTATTATCCATCCTTACTCATAGCCAAATCGTTGATAGCTCAACTCAAGAAATATTCAATTAAAGGAAATTTGTTAAATGTATGAAATGTATTTAAAAATTAAACAACGATCTGGAAGTATAGAAGAGGATTAAAGGTACAATTAAATCATTTTTATTAATAACTTGTCAAATCTCACGGCTTGTGATTATAAATAGACGAATAGAAATTTAGATAAATCAGCTGTTGTCACGGCAATTTCCTTCCCTCCCTAAGATGGATGATACTTTGGCAGGGGTTGGTTTAAGCTAATTTTATGTGCCATTTTTTTCTAAAATATTTTTATAATCGTTTTTCCTAATAATGCACTCTGTTAATGCGTTTTTAATTAATAAATAAACAAAAAAATAGATAATTTTTAAATTAAACACTTTCTGAATTCAATTTTAATTCTTTTTTTTACTTTAAAATGAATACCAATTCATTTAGAAAAGAGTGGGGTCGGAGGGTCAATATAAACCTCCAATATCAGTCCCCCAACCTCCACGTTTGTATAAGTTTGATTTATTTATAAATTAAAAATGGATATATATATTATAAAACATATCATCTGATTTGAGATTATTTATAATTATCATAAACAAAACTATAATATCTAAAAATAAAATTATTCAAGTTATAATATTTTTTTTAAAAAAATAAAGTTACATTTTAGTCATTAATTGCATGATAGAAATTTTATGTTAATTTTAATAATATTTTTAAAACCAAGGTTTAATTTAGAAAAAAAATCAAACAGCACCATAGTTTAATTAGAAAAGTCAAGGCTAGTACCAACTCTGGTATCCTACCACCCCCGAACTCCTATACCTGTTTTATTCAATTTTAATCAAATTTTAATAACTATTTTATATTTTTTTAAAAATTAATTGATGATTTCCTGTTTGTTTTGTTATGCAACAATAATAGGCTTTATACAAGTTACTAATTGTTTCAATTGCATATTGAAGTAATTGTCATCTTCTTTTTAACTAATATTATTATTTAAAATCAACTTTTATTTTTTTTACAAGGAGAATTTTTAAATATTTTTACCTGAGTTTTATGTCACCAATATGCTAAAATACCTAATTTTCTCATGACTTTTTTTTTTAAAAAAATTAAAATCATCTTTCCAAAAATTGTCAGTTTTTTCAAAAGTATTTGTCACTGATATGATAATTATGATACTAGTATAACTTTTTTTAAAGGTTTATTAAAAAAGAGAATTTCTCAAATAAATCAATTTAAAAATTAAAATAAAATATATAAAAAGAAGAAAAGTAGGAGAAAACAAATATCCTTTAGAACTGTTTTATTTTTTAAAAAATTTGAAAGATAAAGAGATAAGAATCTTCTCCTGAATCTTCCTTCCTTGTATGTATCTTCCCTAATATTTCCTTAATCTTCTATGAAAGTTTTCTTAAAAAATTGCTATAAAAGGAAATTTCGAACTTTCACATTATTACTACTGTATAAATTATCCTGATTTCAAAAAAATTAAAACATAAATATCTGGAAAAAGATTATTCCAAGTGCAATTTTCCCGCTTATTTTTTTGACAAAGTTGATAAAAAAAAACTTAGAAAATCGAAATCTAAAATTATTCAAATTCAGTCAATTTTTCAATAAAAAAATGAATTTTTTAATTCTAAACCATCATATCATATGTATTGGAATATTCATTTTGCTAATATTCTTTATAAAAATACACGAGGTAATTGGATTACAGGACATCAATCCATATTGGTGGTAAGTTTTAATATTTATTTATATTAAAAATATCTACTCGAATTCTATTATATCATAATTATCATTAAATACTAAAGTTATTTTGTTAAAACTTTAATGAATTCTACTATATAATATAATTATTTAGATAATAGTATAATTTCTATATGATTACTGGAATAAAATTTCCTGAGAAAAAGGATATTAATAATAATAAAAAAGGATTTAAAATTTATTTAAAGATTGGACTATATCTCTAATAAATTAAAATACCTATTTGTACGGTTTACTTTTGGTCCGATTACCATATACCTCAGAATTTCTTATTCCTAACGGTTAAACCGCCATATATTTATATTAGTTATCGGTAATGGAAAAAAAATATATCCTATATGCAGGTTTAACCCTTATTTTATAGTAAGCGCGAAATATCGCCATGTCTCTCTAGTGATGCATAATTTGCAAATACATAATGTTATAATTACGCAGCTATGCTTTCGTTTATCGATGAATTACGCAACGCTTGCGCTATATCTTCCCGCTTACCATAAACGAAGTCTTAGGCTTATAGTAATTACAAATTTAAGTTCGTTTTAAATTAGAAGAGAATAATAATTAGAAGTCGGCATGGACTGAGTACGAAACTTGTGCCAAATATTTTTTATTGCCATGGCCTGAAGTTCGCAATAATTTTTAAAGTCTACAATAAGGGCCAATTTATGTCTGGTTTCCTTCATAAAAAAATTACGGGCTAGGTTGGACAACTCGTATAAAATTGTTTTACGGGAAGTGTCGGACGGGCTAAAAAAAATATTTTCAAAGACCTATACCCCAATCATTTATAACGATGTTAGAACATTTTATAAATTTATTATTATATAAGTTTTATTATATTTATGCATTTTTATATTTTGTTACCTCTATCAATAGTCTTAAGAAAATTGAGATTTTTTTTACGAATTTGATTTGATAGAAAGTAACAATAGAAATTTTTCCCCCAAATTAAAACATAAATGATTAGAAAGATATAGTGTAAATTAAAAAATAATTTATCTATATGTGTATATAATATGTTTAATAGGAATATGGCTAATTCCGCTCTTCCAGAGTCTAACAATATGATAACTTCCAGTGGTCACACTATGTATTTGGGCCTTCACGCCCAACCACTGACCAAAAAACAGAGGAGACTCGTAGCCAAAAATGAAGGTTCTATACATATATTAATATTTATAAAAAAAAATATAGTAAAGAATATAGACCAGGACTAGATAAATCACTTTTTGTAAAAACTTCCTTACATTTTTTAAAATTTCACTTTTTGTAAAAGTAATTGTCCAAGAAAATTTTGCATATAAAAAAGAGAGAAATGTTTTCACAAGCCCCATAGTTCAATTAGCCCGGTCTCCCATAGTATACACTATTTCATAAGCCGTCTTAAAGGTTATCCAGCCCTTATTAAAAGGGGAGTTTCAGGTTGGAGTGTGAGATGAGAGGGTAATTTTTTGAAACAAGTTAGTCTATAAGTGGGCCAATATTATACTTCCCCATAAACTCTTAAGAAGTATATTACTCATACTGTTGTTAATTAACCCGGTCAAGTCAAACGGACCGATTTAATTAGTGGATTTAAACGGGGAAAAAAAATGAAAATGTATTTCTAGTATAGTTGGGCAGCCGAAATTTTAGAATTAAATCCTTGAAATAAATAGAATGATTTTACCCTATCCAGTTAATTCAACTCGAATATAATATGTATTGCTGCATTTATTGAGGAAACGCGATACGTCAAGCGATGTGATATTAGTACGAGCGAAATAAGCTGATTCGTCTATAGCATCGCGACATATTTTTTTTGCGCCATTTTATTATTTCGCTCAGTGTATTTATGAATTATACCTATTATTGCCTTGATTATGTAAATTACTTTGCGAAAAATTTCGTATCGCTTAGGCGAATCGCGCTTACTATAAATGAAGCGTAAATATAATATATGTCGTAATTTATGATATAGCTCATTTTTTTTTAAAATATCTTCCAATTTGCATAAATCCCCCCCCCCCCCGCCCAATTGCTGGTGCGAGCTATAAATTTATTTTGAGGAATAGACCCATAATTTGAGACCGCGGGTTAAAGTTAGTAACCATATTTTTAAAACCTATTTTAATAATCACCTATTGTTATTCGGTTTTTCTTATTCTTTCTTTCTTCTCGTTTTATAAAATAATAATTCTCAATTCATTATTATAGGTTCCTTGGTGAGTATAATGAAGGGAGTCAAGAATGCCATAGCAGAATGCAAACATCAATTTAAGCACAAGAAATGGGATTGTCCCACATTCGATGCCAGGCACGGAAAGGCTATATTCGGCCAATTACTCACTAAAGGTAATCAAAATATATTATAATTATTTTTAAAAAATAATTAACATAATTAAAAATGACAATTTTTTATGATAATTAAATGCATAAAATATATTGTTTTATTTAATTAAATTTTGATTAAGCCGTTCTAATTATTGTAATGTAAATGAGTCACCAATCCGGGACATTTTTCCGAGAACTGTTTACATTTTATTAATTCATTGATTCCTTACGTTTATTTCTATATTTTCCTTTCGTTTTTTATTATTAAAAAATAATAATTATGTAACTTTAAAATGTATTATAAAAAAAATATTATGTCAATCATCTAGATGCTAGGCATTACTATAGTATAGTTATTATAATATAATTATTATCTTAAAATTTTACGTAAACGTAACAAAAACCAAATAATCATTCTTTTAAAAAATCTTTTTTTGATAAAGTCAATGTACAATTAACGTAAATCAATAATTCCTAATACGATCCGATTCATATTTTAAGCAATACCTATAACACAATTATTCGAATCATAGAAATATTCGTCGAATAATTCGTTTAATGTGAAGCTTTTTTCATTATTTTCATTATTAGGAAATTTTTAAAATTATTCGTAAATATTCGAAATTATTCGTAAAATATTCAACATGTTCCTTGTGGAACTTTTATTTTCAAACTTTATTTTCCCATCTTTAATAATTTAATTTTAAAATCGAATATTTGACGAAGAAAGTTTTATTACTCGTAGGAATGAATTATTCGATTTGTACGATACAAAATATACAATTGTTCTATTTAAAAATTTGAATACGAATTATTTAATCATTAAATTAGTATTTTTTTCCAGGTGTATCTACCGCAACCGGGGGGAGAGGGGGTTAGAAACCGCATTAACAAATTTTCTAAATTTTTGTAAATATCATTTTAGACAAATAAAAATTAGCTCATTACATCCCACCCCCTCTCTCAAAATAGATTGATGCATTAAACATAAATTATATTAATTAAGCATTACAATTGGCTCAACCCGTCTTGAGAAATAGTTGTTTTAAAAAGTTTTACTTCTATATCTATTAAATTTTTAGGTTATTTTTTTGATTGGCGAAATTGTTAGAGAATTATTAGTAAGTAAGCCACTAAATATTAACGCAAACCAGATATTTAGAACTTCTATACTACAAAAATATGGATCGAATAATTTGCATTATTCGTATTTTCGAATTGAATAATTGTATTATTTCGTACATTAGATAATAAAAAGTATTCGAAGAATAATAAAAATTATTAGTCGGAACCTATTTTTCTCTTTATACTGACTAACGAGTAATATTGGTATAATTTTAGAATATAATTGCTTTTAATCAATTTTTAATCACGCGATTGGCCAAAATTTTGTTGCTAAATGTATTTTTTTCTGCGGTACTCTATTGGTTAAAGCATTCACAGGCACTAAGAAATAGTAGTATCACTGGTGAAGGGCAGGGGCTAGAGTCTTCTAAAAAAAAAATTTGGGAATTTTTTTATACCCCTAATAAAAGGTAAGCACTCTGAGATTGTAAAGGCTAGTGTCGCCCCTGCGAAGAACACAAAATATTGGTAAAGAATTCGAATTATTGCTTACAAATGTTCGACCATCTTCTTGTGATAAATAAATATATATTACACAACAGTATTAAAATTGTTTTGATGATACTCATTCATTTAAAAATAATAATAATATGGAATTCAATTGGTATGTTTTTGTTTCTGAGATATTTTAATAAAAAATATATATTATTATAATTGTTGAATTTCTATATTAATATATAGAAAAAAAGATTTTTATTTATATTTTAAAAAAGTAATAAATAACCTCCAGAATATTTTAAATAAAATATATTCTTAATTTTTCATAGGCGGGCTTTAGTTAACGTCTAAGAAAATAGGGGCTTAGGGGAGGCCCACCATCTACTAAATTTTTTAAAACCTTTCATTTGGATAAATTATGACTATACCACTGATAAAACATTTAGCCGGCTAAACAGAGTTTGAACTAGAACATCCTATTTTGTTTTGTTATATATGTGTATACATTAAATAAATATTTTCTCATTAAAAAGAATCACAAAGATACTTATTTAAGTAAATCTAAATGACCTCTTTCTTTTTAGGATATTTAGAGGAAGCTATATAAATGGCTAAACACAATACTGTTTAGGAATAAGATGAACCAGGACACGGCTTAAGAACTAGAAAAGTCTTCATCAATTTTAAATTAAATAAAGTTTTCCAAAATAGAACGGAATGTCTTCTCTTTCTAGAGTAAGAAATCCTAAGTGTCAAATGGAATCTAATCCTTATATAATGTATATCATTATAAGTGAATGGATCTAATTTTCCCATCTCAGCTCATAAATATTATTAAGATTTTTATTTAAATGTGATGTAGCATTATTGAATAAATAAGATTAAAATTATACATTCAAAATAAATTGAAGTCGCTCTAGTCTCAATTAACACCGTTATTACAAAATTATAAATGATAAAAAATCAGATTAACTAGCGTAAATTATTTTAAGGGTGTAAAGAATTTTTTGTATCTCCTATTTTAAATAAGCTTGCAAAGAAACGGCTTTCGTATATGCCATAACGAGCGCGGGCGTTACCCACGAAGTCGCCAGAGCTTGCAGCAAGGGTTCTATAAGGACTTGCGGGTGTGATACTCGGTATCCTAATTATCAACAAAACCATCCCGTTTTAAGTATATTCAAATTTATAATTATATATATATACACCATATTTTAGAAAAGAAGAAGTTTAAGGAGTTATTTAAACTCTCCATCTCATTTTATCACTATCCTTGTTAACTTAATATTATATATGATTTAATAATATTTTTTAAAAATTAATCATATATATAGTTATTAAACATTTTTTTAAGTTATAACCTTTAATTTAAGAATCATCGGTATAAATGTGCTAATTTATATTTTGCTCATAAATGAAAAAAAATGATAAAATCAATAAGGATAAAGAATCATATATAATTTTAGGCTGATCAATAATCATGGTTGAGTACCCAAATTCTAACCCATCAAAGTTTCGTGATTTAATTGAACCAAACCAGAACCCGAACATTTTTTATAAAATAAGGGTTGATAAATAATAAATCTGTCTCTAATTTAAATTTTGAAATATAAAATTCACATGATTTAAGATTTTAAATGCTACCTTTTTAAATTTCAAATGATACAACATATACAAATAGACAAATAGTATATATATAAATTTTGAAATGGTATAATAAGAATTTACCTATGATTTACTTTTTACTACCCAAATATAATAAAAAAAATTTTTTAAACTTAGGCGATAATGATTTGCACTTGCCGAATGCTGAAATCGATCCAAAAGAATCTGAGGGTGGTGCACTCGAATTTAAAAATGATATTGGTATCGACACTCCTGGCGGAGATAACAATAACTGGAGATGGGGCGGTTGTAGCGACAATGTTAAATTCGGCAGAAGATTTGCTAGAAAATTTGTCAATTCTGCGGAAATGGATAGTGATTTGAGGTATATATATATATGGAACTGCTATATTCGACGATCAATGATCCCTTTTGTGAAATTTTTTTTACAATAAGATATGACTTTTTCCCGTCTCTACAACATAGAAAAAATAATGCAAGTTGAACACGAAGGTTTTCTTCTTCATGAAACATAAAATCTCCCCCCCCCCTTCCAATCTCCCACTCATAATAGTTTATTATATAATTTGAAATTTTAAAATTATCAAAAATTAAAACAGGTATCTGGTCAATTCTCATAATAACGCGGCAGGAAGAGGGGTAATTATCAATATATATACAATTCTTTCTCATTATACGCAGAATATATTATTGAGAGAAAGGAATAAAGATGGCGGGGGGGGGAGTGTGGAAGGGAAGGAATGAGGAAGAAAGTAAAAATAAAAAGGATACGAAAAATAAAATTAAAATTATCAATCATAAAATTTAATAAGATGCATATGATTCACAAATTAGACAATTTATCACATACTTATCAAAAAAAAATAGTTAAAAATTTTTTTTTGATGTATAAGTGTTATATAAAATTTTGAATTCAATTTATTCCCACGCCGGAATTATTATTATTTTATTTTTTAAAATTTATATGGATAACTGTAAATGAAGGGAAGGAAGAAAATACTTTTTTTCGAAAATAATGGATTTTCTTATTATCAACCTTTAAAAGAATTCAATGAATGTTTATGAAAAGTCGCTATAATATTATAATTAGACGCCCCGCACTGGTCCGTGAACTCGGGTCGGGCTGATTCCGACCGATATTTTTTCGGGGCTAAAGTATGGCGTTCGGAATATTTGGAAGAAATTTTTTTTTTGTTAGGATCAGATCATTCCTCGGATCTAGTCGAACCAGATAAAAAAAAATAGGTAGGATGCAGCAGGGCTCTATTTATAATATTTTTTTTAAACTTCTAATTTTAATTTCCTTATAAAAAAATAAATAAAAATTAAATATATATTTAAATTTCTTAACTTTTATTGTCTCGCTTCATGCCTTTAAAAGGGGTTTTAAAAAAAACCTAGTACCATTCTCCACCTTCCCTTTGACAAATCTACTATAAAACTCTTATGAATATTGTGGTGTTATAACTATGAATATCTTTTATAGTTGTAAATTTAGTTGTTTTTATTTATCTTTATATTTATCCGGTAAATCAGAATAGAATAACTATAGCATAATTATATCCCCCCTTGCCTCCCCCACAATTTTTTTTTACAAATTAATATTTATAACAAAAAAAATAAAATAATATATTTTAATGTTGTTTTTCTTCAAATCTCATTTAAAATGAGTGTCGCCACATAAAATTATCTTAATTGTTTTTTAATTGTAATTTTTTTTTATTGTGTAATACTTAAAAAGTTATGTAATAATTTCCTGTTTGGTTGGTGGCTTTTCTCTTTGTATCAATTTTAATGATTGACTTATTAAAACTTAATTGAAATTGATACATTTGATATATTTTTTTTTAAAAAAAGAATTTCGCTTAATATTTATTTCATTTAAAAATACAGTGGTATGTAATTTTTTAAAATTACTACTATACCATTTAGTGGGCCGGGGCCAGTGGCCCCTACACTTTCTGAGCGAATGAAGCAGAATACTCCCCTGAAAAGTATCCCCCCCCTCTCGAAAAAATGATAATTATTTTATGACACCCATAAATTCCAAAAATAATTTTTATTGAATCAATTTTTAATATAAAATATAAATAAAATGCAAAAAATATATACTTTATAAATATTATTTTTAAATTAATAATTAAGATAAATTAAGGGAAGAGAAAGCGAAAGAATTAATTTTATCAATATTTAATTGTTTAAATAAATTTTTTTCCATTGATAATATGGTTAAATTAATGAGAAATGAATCTTTCATAGTACTACTAAGTATTGTTTTAATTAATTTAATTTTACTCATGACTCTTTCAGCAGTACATGAGGTTGTAGGAATGGTTAATAAATATTTATATAAAATTCTTAAATTAGGGAAAGCAGAAAAATTTTAAAGTAGACGATAAGGTAAAATAAATGAATAGTTTTTCCAATCTGAATCGTAAGCCCCTGAATTATCATCATCATCAGAAGAAGCTAAATAATGTATTAGTAAAAATATTTTAATTAAATAAATTTACAATTCTCAGAATCTGACAAATCTTTAGATTCTTGAACCTCTAGGTAATGAGTAATAATTACATTCCCCATTTTGGCCATCTTATAAATATTTCTAAACTTCAACATTTACTCGAAAATTTGACTTGAATTTAAATTGTAAAATTCACAGATATCATCGATATCTTCTTTAATAATTCATTTTTCTGCCATTCCCTTTGGCGTAAAATGATGTTTGATGTAAAAATTTCATCGAATCATCATTAAATCTTTCGTTAAACTGCATATGTTGTATTCATTGAAATTTAATAAAGCTAAATTAATATTTATTACCAGTAGAGAGATAATAGGAATTTCTTGTTCTACTTTATCAAATCTCTGCTCTGTGTCTGCCTATAAAAAATATAGCAGAGATAAAAAATAAGAGTAATTAAATGACCTCAGGTTCACTAATTTCATGATCATTATCAGAATCATCAGATATTATATTTTCTTCTAACACATTTTCTTTATTATTAGGACACTTTTAAAAGATAATTATATTAATTAAAAATATTTATTATACCAACAGCATTGAATTCCCAATTTTTACTTCTTTTTTCGTATAAATAATTAAATATTTAATAAAAAAATTACTTTGCTATTTGTCCAATTTTGAGTAACATTCTTAAAAGTTACTATTTAAGCTTTTCTTTATATCGTTAAAATTAAGCCCATGTCTTTTTCTAATGTGATCTATCCATTTATCATCTCTTATATTATGCGATTTGCAATTTTTTATTAGGCATTTGTATTTTTTTTGTTTAATATTTTTAGGTATATTTTAAAATATAATTTATGACAAGAAATCTCGGATTACAACCTAATTTACTATAAATTAAATATTAATTGGGGGGGGGGGTCTTATTATTACATTTATAAACCAGAAATCACTTGATCATGTTGGATGTAACAAAACAGTAAAAGAATTAAATAATAAAGAAAATTAAAAAAAAAAAATTTAAAATTTTTTCTGGATAAAATATTCAGTTAGCCATTTTTAAAAAGCAGCTCAAACAGGCCGTTTAACAACATTAGATAGAATACGAATTAAAATATGTAGAAATTCACATTATTCAAAATTTCTGAAATATTATATAGAAATTGTGGCGAACAAAATATTTAAAATGCCAAGGTAGTAAAAATAAATCAAAATCAGCTTAATAAAAATAACATGTCACTTAATAATATGGCATGTAGGAATCTATCATTTTGTTCTATTTTTTTAAAAAATATGGCATGAGTGATGACCTGAAAGAAGGACATCTTTGAGTTTCTATTCAGTAAAAGGTTAAAATGTTTTGTTCAGATTTTTTTCTCACTCCATAATTTTATTCAATAAGAGCCTGGTTATCAAATTTTCGATTTTTTTGTTCGCTCTACTGCAATAACAAATAATGCTATATAGAGCTTCGATCCATTTAAAATATATATGTATATCAATGAAAATCAGCTATGTAAATAATTTAAAATTTTATGAATTTCACAGTTTCATTTATGTATAAAAATTAGGGGTGTAAAAAAACTATTAAAACAAAAAAATTTTTCAAATATGAAAAATGGGAAAAACAATAAAAAACATGTCTAAAAAATATTTGAACAAAATTTTGAAATACTCAAATTAGTGTTCTTAAACGGCTCGTTTTGGGCTGATTTTTATAAAGGGCTAACTCAATGGCCAGAAAAATATTGCCTGAACCTCGAGATTTCGATAATATATGTCTAGACCTTTGTTCCTTCTATGAACAAAATTTTCAGGCTTGCGTAATATTTTTCCGAATAAAATACTGAGTTAGCCGTTTTAAAAAATCAGCTTAAATCATCACTACTAACAATATAAAAATATAAATTCACTCAAAGTTGCAAAATTAACCATTTATGAAAGTAATGTTATTAGTTATAGATTTCACTTCTTTTGGAGGAGCACTCTCACCCCCTACTCTTTTATTTTAAAGATGTGGGGAATCTCCACCACTCCCTACCTCCTTTCAATTCCACTCATAAAAGTTCTTGGTATAATCTCGAGAAATGAAACATATTTTTTTTCCAAAAAATTTTTTAAATAAAAAATCTATTTTTATTTATAAAATAAAAATTTTATTTTTGCAACTAAAATTATACATATAACAGGCCGTAACAAGGTCCATGACAAAATTCTGCAAATGCCAGGGACTCTCAGGAAGTTGCAATCTTAAGACTTGCTGGATGAGGGTGACTCCTTTCAGAAATATAGGTTTTCTAATGTTTCTTATAGAAAATTTGCGAAACCCGACTCGGGCCAGGTAAATTCTGAAAAAAATTTACATGGGCTGGATCGGGTAAAAAATTTATATATATTTGATGAATTTTGATATTTCGTACAAATGATAATCCATTATGTATATAGTGTTTTATCTTATAAAGAAATGAAAATTTTATTTCTTTTTTTAATAATAATATTTTTATAATATTAAGATTTAAGGTATATGAGTTGAGTTTCCAACAACGGTATATAAAATTATTCTCATTATTTACTTTTCCACCAAATTTGTTAATTTGCAACATTTTCTAGTTTATTATGGAATGATTTATTTGTAAATCTATCTTACATCAAAATCAACCACAGTCTCTGATTGCTTATCATTTTATTTATCAATATCTTAGCCTTAATTTAGTGCTCTAAAAAAGATAAAATTAGTAAATTTTTTTAAAAAATTCATAACCTACATTTTTTGAAAAATACATAAATGTCATGGGGTGAATATACTACTAAAAAGGCACTGATTAGGTCTTAATTCTATATAAATATAATGTTTCATAACTTCAATAAAAAAAATTTTATAAAAGGAAATACATTACGCCTCAAATATGACAAAGCCGCCAAAGTAGTTTCCAACAATAATGTCCAATCTTTTCCAAACTCAAATGATAATTACCAAAAAATAAACTCTTTTAATCCCGAATCATATAAGACACATAAATCCGCTTATGAAGCCGATAAAATCGAAAGGTTAACAACTAATATCAATAAAGGTAATAGGGAGAGTAGGGAAGATAGGTACAATGACATCGACGCAGATCGTAATGATAACGGTGCAGTAGATGGAGGTAACAATGACGAGGTAAAATACTTTTCCGATTTTGCGAGACCATTATCATCCCCCTTTTACGCTTTCAAGCCAAGACGGAAGTCTCTTTTTGAACGTGACGTGCCTAGCTTAAACATAGTTCCGCCCAATTCAGTCTCTGTGCCTCCCAAAACTTCCTTTAATTCTTTGAATTCTTTGCAAGATATGGTTGTAGGTTACGACACCAAGAGGAAAAGGGCAAATAAATTGGGTATGGATGCTAAAGAGAGTAGACGGGGGAGGCGCAAAAAAAGCCGCATATCTAAACAGCGTTTGTTGAGACAAAATAATAGCTCATATTCTTCGCAGCTATCAATAATAAACGGAGAAGATTATTTTCATTTAGATCGATTTCGACATTCTGCATTGGTACCTGATAGGTTGGACCTGGTTTACTATGAAGAGTCTCCGGATTTTTGCGAGTACGACCCTAAATCAAGCTCCAGGGGAACTAGAAACAGGCAGTGCACTTTAAACTCTCGTAGCATCTTTGACTCTAACCTATATATACAGAATTTAAATTCTAATAGGCCCTTAAATTCGTTTTCAATGGGCTTTCAGATGGGAGAAGGGCTTGGAAATTGTGAAACTATATGTTGCGAAAGAGGTTATACCAGTAGAGAAGTTCTAGTTATTCAAAGATGTAATTGCACTTTTCAGTGGTGCTGCAATGTCAAGTGTCAAGAATGCGCCTTTAAGAGGATAATTTATACCTGTTTATGAATTATTATCAGGTTCAGAAAAAGAAGAAAAGGAATAGTATACAAGCATAATATTTTTTGTTATTTATTCGTTTATTAAACTAAGACAATCAATCTCGTTATATTATTTCTAAAATTGTGTAATATTTCCCTCTACTAACTTCCTTATTTAATTATTTTTTATACGAAACAAAATAACTTTTGATCTCAATCATGTATACATATATTTTTAATATTTTTTTATTATTATTAAATCGCGGCAGAGGATTTATAATGTATTATAGTAATTTATAAATTTGGCACAAACTGACATTCCAAAATATTCGCTCTGTTCGACAATCATTTTATAAAATATATTTGGCTCAATTATTGAAATCTGCAATTCGTCAATTCAGTATATATTATTTAATTTCTTTTTTGTGCTTTTCTTCTATATAATTATGTAAATTGGATTAAAACGAAAATAAATATACTTTATAATCAGCTGAGTTATCGAAATTAATATATTTCCTGTTATGGGACTGTTTCCACGTAACTTTGGTAATATAGAATAAATATTCAAATTCGTACACCACCCCCCCCCCCCCCACCCATTCCTTAGTGAAAATTTTGGTTACAGACCTAAATATCCTTAACGGTATTCTAAAAAATTATCTAAACTAATCATAATTAGAAATCCTTTACTTCGTTAATTAGAGTCATCTAAAGTTAAATATTATAATAACAAGTGTAAAGTATGATAGAGGTATAAATGTGATACGTTACATAGTGGAGTAAAAATAATTCAAGGAAATACATAGAATTCTAAGCAAAATTTATACATTTTACTGTACTTATGATATTAGTGAACAAGCAAACTTTTCTAATATAAATGTATCTTTGTATTATGAAAAGACAATAGTTAATCAAGAAAAACAAATGATTTATACATCTTGATTTGTTCGGCGATATTTTAAATAAGTAACCCTGAATTCACAGTTAGCGCGAATTCGGGGCGAAATACAAAAATACAGCATATTCTGTATATTGTGACGCGAATTCGTGCTAACTTATGAATTCAAGGTAAGAAATTTTATAAAGTAAATAAAATGACCAGGCAAAAGAAAGAAGAATGCGAGGAGGACGCAAAAGCAAATAAAAAATGGAAAGATTTTTTATTGTGAGATAATAGGACTATAATAAACTGTTATCTCTTAAGTATCTAAATTCCCATTGCATATTTAAGGAATAATAATTCCAAATTTTAAAATTTAAGAATATTTTGTGAAAATGTGGGTAGAAGATTTTATAAAAAAGGATAAAAAAAAATATACAAAGGACAATATTTTATTTCAAATATCGATGCCTCGTACTATAAAAAACGAAAGATTAAGTATCGGTAGATTTTTTTTAAAAGAATGCACTTGAAAACTAACATTTATTTCTTAAAAAAAAATAATAATTACTTTTAAAAAAATCAAATACAAAAAAAATTTAATTAGATAGAAATTTTTTTTTTGCCTGACAAGTTTTTTATTATAAAATAATTCTAAATTAATAAAGTTTATACTGATTATACTGCAGCTACATGGTAGGGAGCTGCCATATTCTACAAGTCGATTCGATTTGCAAGATTTTTAAATATTAAATTGTAAAAACACATTTTATTTAACATATTTATGTGAAATTTTGGTGAAGTTACAAATTTATTAATTACAAAATTTATCAATCTTTATTTCAAAATTAATTATATTTTTAAATAAAATTTAAAAAAAAATTAGATAAAGATTTCTAAATATTTATCAGATGAATCTATATTTTTAACAATTGCTCTTCTTTGCAAATTATTATCTTCAACTCCAAGCAATTTATGTTCAAAATTTGCTCAATCATTAATTCGACTTCTAATCGAATGATCCTTTTTTGATACAATTCATATCATTCTTTTTACCCTGCAAATTTGTATTTTCAGAAATATTCAAATGTTATTTATTATATTCGCTTGCATCTTCGCATTTTTACACCTTCGCAATAAAGTCTTAATAGTCATTTTAAGGTGTGTAATGTAAATAACTCCATTTTTAAAATAAGCAACAGTATATTAAATAGCTTTATAATATTTTGTTTAATACTTGAAATTAAAACAAATTTATAATATGTTAAAATGTTGAAAATATCAGTATAAGGCTGTGATATTTATTGTTTTAGACATCGAAATCCTACCCAAAATTCCCTATTATGCCACTTAATAAAAAGGACTAATGTTCGCGCGTTGATTTCAGATCAAAATTGCAATATATAAAAAAGGTGAAGCATCGCATTGTTTAATAGTATATCATCTTTCGTTTCTTGCAAAAACAAGGCTTGGTGTTAAAGTTGCATAAAGAAGAAGAAGAAGATTCCTATTTTCAAAAATAGGTCTTATACTATCGAAACCCCCTACGGAGTCAATTTAGAATGAATTTTTTTATAAAGGGAAATTTTTTTGTTGTTAATTGTATTAAAATCTTTTTAAATGAGAATCCCTCACAATTTGTATTTGATGGGTATTTCAATAACTCTTTTTAAACTTCACTTGAGTCCAGAGCGACAATATAAATATTTGAAAAACATGGTAAAGCTCCTTTCATCTTAAAAATAATAATTTATTTTTGATATAAAAAAAGTATGAATTTTATCAGAGGATTTTACTTTATTTTGATCAGTATATTCGATGTAATTCATATCATAAAATTGTTGAGAAATTTTGAGTAAAAAAAAGTGTATGATTACAATGATCATGATCACTCTAATATTCGACATTGGGTTGTATTAAATTAAATCAAGGTGTGAATCATTAACATTATTGGACAAATTGGTGCAATTATTGCTTGTGGTACTATGTCATAAAGGTAGGATTATCCAGCTCGGTGGCTGCCTCCCTCAAACATTTTTATAAATCACATCCTCTGCCACATATCAGAAGAAAAAAAAATCATACTACTATCTATTTTATCATTCTACCCTAAATCAAAAAATCACTAAGTATTAAAATAGTTTAAAATATAATATATACATATTCTGTATTCTTTTAATGAGTTAAATATGAATCTGTTTTTATTTTTGAAAAAAAACTGTATTTTGACCGGGGACGCGTAGTTTAGCCAAAAAAAATTTTTTGGGGAAAAATTTTTTTTTAAAATTTTTTTTATTAATACCATTTTCTGAATCTCCTTGAAAAGCTAAACATGAATCTGCTTTTATTTTTTAAAAAAAACGGTTTTTTGACCGGGGACGCATAGTGTTTTCGAAAAAAAAAGTGTTTTTTCCAAAAATCACTAAGTTATTAAATACTTTAATAAATAATATTTACATATTCTGTATTCTTTTAATGAGCTAAATATGAATCTGTTTTGATTTTTTTAAAAAAACTGTATTTTGACCGGGGACGCGTAGGGACGCGTAGTTTAGCCATTTCGAAAAAATTTTTTTTTTAATTTTTTTTTATTAATACCATTTTCTGAATCTCCTTGAAAAGCTAAACATGAATCTGCTTTTATTTTTTAAAAAAAAACGGTTTTTTGACCGGGGACGCATGGTGTTTTCGAAAAAAAAGTGTTTTTTCCAAAAATCACTAAGTTATTAAATACTTTAATATATAATATTTACATATTCTGTATTCTTTTAATGAGCTAAACATGAATCTGTTTTGATTTTTTTAAAAAAACTGTATTTTGACCGGGGACGCGTAGGGACGCGTTGTTTAGCCATTTCGAAAAAATTTTTTTTTTTAATTTTTTTTTATTAATACCATTTTCTGAATCTCCTTGAAAAGCTAAACATGAATCTGCTTTTATTTTTAAAAAAAAACGGTTTTTTGACCGGGGACGCATAGTGTTTTCGAAAAAAAAGTGTTTTTTCCAAAAATCACTAAGTTATTAAATACTTTAATATATAATATTTACATATTCTGTATTCTTTTAATGAGCTAAATATGAATCTGTTTTGATTTTTTTAAAAAAACTGTATTTTGACCGGGGACGCGTAGGGACGCGTAGGGACGCGTAGTTTTGCCATTTCGAAAAAATTTTTTTTTTTTAGTTTTTTTTATTAATACCATTTTGTGAATCTCCTTGAAAAGCTAAACATGAATCTGCTTTTATTTAAAAAAAAAACAGTTTTTTGACCGGGGACGCGTAGTGTTTTTGAAAAAAAAAGTGTTTTTTCCAAAAATCACTAAGTTATTAAATACTTTAATATATAATATTTACATATTCTGTATTCTTTTAATGAGCTAAATATGAATCTGTTTTGATTTTTTAAAAAAAACTGTATTTTGACCGGGGACGCGTAGGGACGCGTAGTTTAGCCAATTTTTTTCGAAAAAATTTATTTTTTTTATCTTTTTTATTAATACCATTTTCTGAATCTCCTTGAAAAGCTAAACATGAATATGCTTTTATTTTTTAAAAAAAACAGTTTTTTGACCGGGGACGCGTAGGGACGCGTAGTTTAGCCAAAAAATTTTTTTTATTAATACCATTTTCTGAATCTCCTTGAAAAGCTAAACATGAATCTGCTTTTATTTTTTAAAAAAAACGGTTTTTTGACCGGGGACGCGTAGTGTTTTTGAAAAAAAGGAAGTGTTTTTTGAAAAAATCACTAAGTTATAAAATACTTTAAAATATAATATTTACATATTCTGTATTCTTTTAATGAGTTAAATATGAATCTGTTTTTATTTTTTAAAAAAAACTGTATTTTGACCGGGGACGCGTAGTTTATTTTTTAAAAAAATAAATTTTTATAAATTTTATATAGTTACCGTATTTTTTTTAATTTAAAAAAAACATTTTCTAACTCATCTTATAAAGCTTAATAAGATTTCCTATTAATAATAATAGAAATTAGTCGTTTTGACCGGGGACGCGTAGTTTTCGGGGACGCGTATTTTAGTCATTCCCCAAAACAAATGATCAACTATGAAGAGAATCTTAATAGTATATACTTTTGGAGTTATCTTTAGTTCTTCCTTTATAATAAAATTAATAATACAAAATAAAAAAATTAACAGCACCTATTTCTCTTATTAGTAACAAAATTTGTAGATTTTATCTATACAGGTCTATTTTTTACATAAACTTATGAGTGATTATTGTTTTAAGTTATAAGCCACTATATTACATAAAATTAAAAGTACCAGCTATTACAATAAATATAGGTGCATCTATGATATTTATTATTAAGACAGGAATCATAAAAGATTATATATGTAAAATATAAAAATAATATATTTATTATTTTTAATTAAAAGATTCTATAAATGAACAACATGTGTGTGTAACAAGATTTTTATTGAAATATCAAGTAAATTTGATAAAACTATAAAAGCTAATATTCTTGGAAATGAGGGGTGGTATTGTGGCTTTTTATATATGTATATCTTGAGTCTTATATTTTAGATTAAATCATCAGTTGAGGTGAGAATTTATTTTGTATTGATATAGATAATTTAAAAATAATGATCAGGCATTTGATCCATATGGGTTAAAGGAATCTGGGTGGTAAGGTTAATTGAGATTATTTGGATTTTTTGAGAGTATAATAGATAGAGGTATGGAATATTTTGCATGAAGGTGGTATTGTGCTTTTAAATATGTATATCTTGAGTCTTATATTTTAGATTACTAATAAAAAGAATTGAAGAACTTGCTAAAATCATCAGTTGAGGTGAATTTATTTTGTATTGATATAGAGAATTTAAATATATAATAATAATAATGATGAGGCATTTGATCAACGTTCAAGCTACAAAATAGCGCTACAGCTGATTGCAATGTGAGGACGTTTTTAATGAATGAATCGCCAATCTATGTTATATATATCATTGGTGCTTATATTTGTTTAAGTTGTCGGTATCATGACAATCATCCAAAATTTAATATTTCTAGTGAGATTAGCGTATTTATTTTTAGAAGGTATATTGTGGGATCTATATTATAGTGAAAATACATGATGAACGCCTAAGATCCTGGTGGGATGAATTTTGGCATGATAGTGAATGAATTATTCGATGGATAGTTTCGGTATCGCCCCTGTAGTTCATCGGTCATATCCATTTATCTTTGTTATGTCATTAAACTATTTCGCGACAATTGGTATTTTATATTTAATTATTTTATCAAAAGCATTTATTTTTATTTTCTAAATTATTAATATTTACATTTATAATAATATAGTCATATCTACGAAAATAAGTTTAAGCTCTTTGCTTATAATTTGCAGGTTAGAAATATCAGCAATTTTTATTCAAGTTTATTATTAATCTTATTTGCTTTATGTAAACTGAAGATTCCATATAAGAAAAACAACTCACAATTTTTTGGGTTCCATAAAAATTACATTTAATATTATAAAATTTAAGAAATTAAGAGTTTTATTTATTTATGAATTTGTTCAGCCTGGCCCAGTTTATTATAATTTTTGCTTTACATGTCTTGGATCATTTTAATTTGTTTTAAAATTTTGCCTAGTAGGATGTTTTGTAATTCTTAAAATTTGGAATCAGCAAATACAAATAAGACCAGGATAGAAATAAATGTATTTTTATAACTTTAAAATAATTTTATTTTAGGTTTTTTAGATTCTTCCTTCATAAGGATTAACAATTCAATCAAATTCCTATGTACAATTATTTACTATTTTAAGCCTTGTTGAAATGTCTTGGTATAAAAGAGAGTGGTAAATTATATTTTCTAATAGATATCATTATATATTTATAGCAATCTTTTAGAATTTTTAAATACAAAATTACAACAAATGGTAAATTATATTTTTTAATACATTTCATTATATATTTATAAATTTAGAATTTTTTTAAATACAAAACAACTATTACAACAAATGGTAATGGTGATAATCTCTACTAATGATACCTTCTTCATATAGAAAGTCAAGATATTATAAAAATAAAATATATCTTACCTGTATTTCACCAACCTGCCCTGGGAAAGGTTATACAGTAAATAACCTATTTACTGAAACAGCAGCATGCAATGGTAAATTGTTTAATATATAAGATATGTTTTATTGTTTTCTAGATATTTGCAAATATTTAAGTGGTGATTCTCAAAGTCTAGCTGTATATTCTCAAGGTCAAACTGTGAACCTCCCTGTTCAAGGTAAATAATTGTGATAAATAAATTAATATTAAATACTTATAGTTTAGGTATAAATATTTTACCAAATATTATTAATTATAATCCAATTTAAATAGATTATTCACAAAGTCTAGCTGGTTATTCTCAAGGTCAATTTGTGAACCTACCTGTTCAAGGTATATAATTGTGATTAATAATTAATCTTAAATACTCAAATTTTAGGTATAAATATTTTATAATATATTATAAATTCAAATCCAATTTAAATAGATGATTCTCAAATTCTAGCTGGTTATTCACAACGTCAATCTATGAACCTCCCTGTTCATGGTAAATAATTGTTATTAATAATTAATCTTAAATACTCATATTTTTATTTCTTTATACAGACTCTGATTGCCCTAAGAAAAGATTTATATCAATATCCACACAAAGTGATTTATAGCTAAATATCTAATATAAATATATTTTAGCCGATAATGCTCAATTAATGGATTCCTCTACACAGACAAATATCTCAAAATTAGGCAATGAAACTGTTCATACTATTATATTTAATATATCCTATAAGTTTTTTTAATATATATATATATATCAGAGACCTGCAGAGGTACCATTTGTAAAACCCGGCTTGGTACAGATTTTTTTAAAAAAATTATTTTCGGCCCGGCCTGGCCCGGATTTTTTTTTCAAAAATTATTTTAGGCCTGGCCCAGGTTTTTTAAAAAAAATAATTTTCTAGCCTGGCCTGGAATTTTTTAAAATATAATTATTTTTGATTTTTATAGCTATTATGGCAATTTCATATTTGGTTTTAAAATATATGGCCCGGCCTTGGTATATATATAAAAAAATTAAAATATTGTCCAGCCCATATACCCAGGCCTGTAGGTCCTGATATATATTATAGCTGAAAGCAAATACTATAAAAGAGTGATATAATAATAAAATATTTTATTACTGTAAATACTGCGAAGCAAAAACTATCATAAATAATGGTAATATTGAAATTCAAATAAAGCATAAAAATAATTGTTTTTCAATTATATCAGTGGTATTATATAGAGATATTATATATTATTTATTTAGTTAATATAAAAAGAATTTAATGAAATAGAAAATCAAGAAGAATACCTTTCAAGATATTATCTTAACCCTTCAATACTCCAGTGAAAAAAATCAAGTTAATTCTTGGGTGGGGTAAACCCCAATTTCAATGCATATATCTCCAGTTATATTCATTATTTAGATTTAATATTTGGATATAAGATAGAACTAACCTTAAACCTGATAAAATAATTATTTATTTTTATTCCTTAAGTTTAAATTAAAAATGATGAGGAGTAATATAATTTGTCCCAAAATTTTCTAATAAAAGCTAACTTTTTTAAAATTTAAAATATTAAATGAAAAAATTATCTTATATATCATATAATCATGATAATTCAAAACTTGGATCTTTATTTTTCAATATAAAAAAAAATTACACTAATACATTCAAATATAAAAAAATATAGAACATACAAATTTACTCTGGTGGGGTCTCACAAACCCCAATCACTCACAAAATGCTTATATCTTAAAAATTACTCAACCGAAATGTATGAAATTTGGAATATAGATTCTAAGATATATTTGATGAAGGTACTGAAAAATCCAGATAATAATATTTAACTGTTTTTATGCAATATCATTTCTAGCATGCCTGGGGTTTCATATACCCCACCGGAGTATTGAAGGGTTAAAAATTCCTCACACAAAACCACAGTTTATTATAAATGTAAAAATCATAATTGTAAAGGTTGTATTACTCATAAACATCTTACATTCAATAAGGGCACACTTGTTCAAGTATATGTAGTGCTGTTAAACAGCTCATTTTCAGCCGATTTTTAAAAATGGTTAACTCAATATTTTAGCCAGAAAAATATTACCTAAGTCTCGAGATTTCGCTAATAGATGGCCAAACCTTTGTATACCTTCTACAAACAAAATCTTCAGGTTTGCCTAATAATATTCGAGATAAAATATTGAGTTAGCCGTTTTTAAAAATCGGCTCAAAATGAGCTGTTTAACAACACTGTATATGTGAAATACATGATAAGTTTTATATAAATATTAGGCCCACCTCCTACAAATTTTATAGAAAATAATATCTAAAAAGGGTATATAGAAAATAAATTATATCTTCTTGTTAAATCAAATAAATTTAGATTTAACTTCAAGAAAAAGATTTAAAAATAGTATGCTCCAAAAAGGTATAATATTTTAAATGATAAATATGTATAAAAATTTATTTAGAAATAAGTCCAACAAACTCCATGCCTATTAAACCCACAATGAATGGTATATTAAATTTTTATATTGGAAATTAGTTTTTAAATAGAAGATAAAGATATTGTAGATTTGTTTGTTTCAGAAGTATTAAAAGAAAATACAATTGATAAAAGTACTTTTGTTTTATTATATTTTATAACTTTATTTAATCATAGTTGAAACATTAGTAATAGACATAAAAAGGAACAAAAGATTATATTTTTATAAGAATTTTTTATACGTCAAGTATAATTCTAACAGCCATGTCAGTTATTATGATTGTATTGATATTAATTGCTCAAGTTCTCTACTCTGTAACGAAAATAACATCACTTTAAATAAGGTTCATAATCATCCAAATGATTATGAGCTTTATTTGTTCTACAAAACATCAGATCCTTTTGGCCACACTACAAATTCAGCCCCTTGATGTTTATTTTTGAACAATTCTATCATAATTATTAATGTTATACATTATCAGCTATACCTTGGATATAACCAAATATTTATTTTTTATTCATTATCTAAATACAATGTTAGCCTGGACCTATAAACTTTTTGGCTTTTATTAGCAATAATTTTTGAAGAAATATTTATATAAAATTATACTTCCTCCTTAATTTTTTATATTTGTTCTTTATTTTTATGATTGATATTTGTTATTTTTATATTTATGAATGAAATATTATTATCTTATATTACAACATTGGGACGAATAAGATAAGTTAGAGTGTATGGTGTCAGTTTGGAAGTAAAAGAAAGATGTATGTTTCACATTCTAAATAATATGAAATACCAATATTCATATAATTAGAGATCTGCAAATGTAGAATTTTTAGACCTGACTTTATTTAAAGTTTTCATCCTTGTTAACATTTTTTATAAAAAAAATTTACTCAGCCCAGGTTTTTTTAAAATTTGATCATTAGGCCGTGTCCTAGATAAAATATAATTAATCCTCTAAACATCTCTTACAAATTTTTTATATAAATTTAAAATGACTCAAGTTAACGGAAAAATTGTCTATAATTTATAAAGTAGGTATAAACATGGAATATATTTCCGGTAAAATCATTTTTTTAAATTTAAAAAAACGCGCTTAAAAAATGATTTAAAGTTGAAAAAATAATACCTTGCCGGGAAAAACACATTGACGTTAATATATATAAGTATAAAGGTGAAAATATTTAGTCCAATTATAAAATTGAAATATTTAGTCCAATTTAGGAAATATTTAACTTTAAAATCATTATAAACATAGACTTATTAAATGAAAGGTTGCTATATTCAAAATGGCGATTATTTTAATGATGTTTTTTATAATCGTTGTACATTCTATGTTTATATAAGCATGATTATAATCATATATGACTTGTATTCAAAAAAAGAGATTATTAATGAAAAACTTGTGGTGATATCTATGAAAATATGTAGAATTAATTTAATGAAAAATAATTAATTAAATTCATAATCTTATTAGTTTCCAATTTGTGAATAAAAAATTCTCTTCCAAAATAATATTATATAAGCCTCCAGATTCGGTAAATAGATGTCCAAATCTTAATCTTCCGGCTTAATTATCTTGGTTATTATCTTAATTGGATTGTTTTTAAAAATCCACCCGAATAGGGCTTTTTAACAACATCATCTCAGTAATGTTTTTATTCTTGTTGGAGAAGAAAACGTTCTTTTATTGGTAGAAGTATGGGAAGAGTTGTTAAAATATATAATATAATTTTTATATATTACGAAAATAATCTAAAATATGCTTAAAATTTTTTTCTACGAGTCGAGTCAGAAAAATATCAAATTTATAGAGCCCTGCTTTTGACTTAACAATATCTTATAATTTATGAAATTCGTCATCTAATTTTCCCTGATTTCCTTAAGTTCCAATATGATGCTTTAAGCTAATCTCTTAGTTCAGTCAAGTCGATATTATTTTTAAAAATATTTTACTATGTATTGCAGTGAAAAAGTTAAATGATTTGGTGGGAAATTTTAAAATCATAGAAAAATGTAACTTCAAAAATAATTTGAAATCGATATTAATTCATAGAATACATTAGTAGCGTATTTATTTATGCTGTGAATGTGATAAATATAAATAAATGTAAATTGGAATATGTATGCGATAAGATGTAGGAATCAGCAAAATATTTAAGCCGGCATCTTGATTTTTTGGCTATGGCGGGTGGGGGTTCCCCCCCCTAACGCTTTTACCCTGTGTAGGCGCCTGATAATTATTATTACAATATGAAAATTATGGAGAAATTAAATAACCACATATTTAATAGCTATGATGCAAAATTTGTTAATGTTAACTTTAAAATAATGGACTGCATTGGCTGCCAACTTTAATCCTATTAATGCTGAAGAAAAACACATTTTTAAGATGGGGAAAAAATAAGATAATATGATACAGATAGAGGAAACACGGTGCCAGGTGAAATTATATTTGATAAAGATGTATATAAATATTTATAGCAAGTTTAGTTGAAAACTAATTTATAAATAAATAAATGACTATATAATATCCTCAAAGCCCTCGATGTTAAGTTTAAAAATCTTAAATGTCTTAATGATTATTCATTTAACATACCATCAGAATTGGTCAGGTCCTACTGAAAAAGAATCTAGATACAGATTTTTATAAAAAATGTATCATAGATAGAGATACTAGTATCTTTTTCAAAATATCAAAAGTACAAGATAAAAGATACTTGTATCTTTTGTTAAATTAAAGTATTTTAAATACAAAGTTGCTTTAAAATTATCATTACCAATTAAATAAGAAAAGTTTATAAAATTCAGTTTTTATTATTTATGAAGAACATAACACGCATATAATAAGAATGAATATTTACAATAATTATAATAATCAGGCAATATTAGTATTAGCCCAATATTAGCATAGATAGGGAAGGGAGAGTAGTATTTTTAATTGTTGAAATATTAATTTGAAAAGGATATTTAAAATAGATTCATTATTTTATAAGATTATCAAATTTTTCAGATAATTTATCATTAGACCTTTGCCGTTTCGGCATACTTAACATTGTGGCAAAACTAAATAACCTTTCAATTGGAGCTGATGAAGGTATTGCAGTATTATATTTAAAAAATATTTCTTAATTCGACTTTAATATAATTTAAAACCTCCAGTTCAATATTATTTGTAAACTCAGAAACATTTGTTCCACCAAAAGAAAAATAATATTCATTTTCTTTATTAAATTTAAATATATTGGTGTTATAGTTTGA